GCGTGTGCGTGTGCGTGTGCGTGTGCGTGTGCGTGTGCGTGTGCGTGTGCGTGTGCGTGTGCGTGTGCGTGTGCGTGTGCGCGTGCGCGTGCGCGTGCGCGTGCGCGTGCGCGTGCGTGAGCGTGTGCGTGTGCGTGTGCGTGTGCGTGTGCGTGTGCGTGTGCGTGTGCGTGTGCGTGTGCGTGTGCGTGTGCGTGTGCGTGTGCGTGTGCGTGTGCGTGTGCGTGTGTGTGTGCGTGTGCGTGTGCGTGTGTGTGTGTGTGGGTGTGTGTGTGTGTGTGTGTGTGTGTGTGTGTGTGTGTGTGTCGACCGACCCCTCGGTCGAAGTTGAACTAATTTACCAGGTAAATAAGCTCGTCTATAACTTCGAGCTTAGTGCTCCCAACAACTACCATCATAGGTAGTTGAGAGCACTAAGCACATTAATGTCCATGTCACACCAAAACAAAGATCATATTTAAACATGATCTTTGTTTTGTCCACGATATATATATATATATATATATATATATATATATATATATATATATATATATTGTGTTCAGTAATAAACCGCAACTCACAAAATTTATACCGAGGCACAATGATCTGCTGCGATCGGAGCGCCGGTCACACCTAGTGGCAACATTGCGACGTAATATGCGTTGTAATAATCTGTGGAGTTAAAAAAAGGAGAAGAGGAGGGTAGGAGGCGAGACAAGCCAGACACATTCTCTTTGTGTTCGTGATGTGAACATCTCTCCAAAAACTTTAAAAAGGGACTACTCCAGAGTGTACCGTGTACAATCTAATTGCTAGTGTATTCTACCGTGTAGAAGAAGCTACCAGGAGCTGTCAACGTTTGCTGATCTTGGGAGGCTGGCTAGTAAGACCGTGAGTAGTTTATTGCTGTTTTTGGTGTGATTTTGTGACTGCGGTAACTGAACGTTTCAGGGGATTTAGAATATCAATACAGTCCACTATATCTAATAAAATAATCCCAATCCGCCACATTTCTGGCCTTCGAGCCGCATATATTCGAATTAGTGATCGCGTCCCGTGGACGTCATATATTTGAGTAAAACTACGCATTTAATTAATTTAATATCCCTTATTTAATTTGCCTCTTTTTTACCTGGATGTCCATTGCTCGCGGTGCGTTTATAAAGTATTAATTTTGTAATTTGTTCATAATGTCGGATAAATTACAAATAAAAAGGCAAACACTTATTTTTAAAAAGGAATACCTATTTGCTAAATTACAAAAGGTTTTCGATATCGCGAGATCCCAAATAAATGATCCCACACAAATTCAGAATTTCTTAGCCGATTATTCCGAATTAGAAAGTGTCCGCTCAAAGTTTGAAGAAACAGTGTTAAATATTATTGAAATAGATATATCATTAAAACCGGAGACAAGATTGTCAACGCGAGAATTAGATACATTTGATGAACTTTATAAGGCATGTAGGTTGCAATATTTAAGATTAAAACCGGACGAGCAGGCATCCCTCAGTAGGAAAGATAGGAGTGATGTAAGGCCGTCATTACCTAAATTACGTTTATTTGAATTCGATGGTGATATTGAGAAGTGGACCACATTCTACGATACATTTGTATCACTTGTCCACAATCGAGATTTCGATGAAATAGATAAGTTTCACTATTTGCTTTCATGTGTTAAAGGTTCGGCATTAAACATTGTTAAAAAATTGCCCATAACAGCCGCTAATTATACTGTCGTATGGCAAAGTTTATGTAATAAATATCAAGATGATCGAATACTCGTGGGTAGGTACATCGACAAAATGATAAACTTTACGCCGTTAAATAAAGATACTACCGCAAATCTTACTTTATTTATCGAAACATTCGATCACTCTTTTAAAGCCATCGAGGCATTAAAAATTAAAAATTTACATGACTATTTATTTTGTCATTTAGCCTTACGTGGGTTGGATGCGCATACTAGGAGGCTTTTTGAAGAAAATCGGGATCAAAATTCACTTCCATCTTTTTCGGAATTAACTAGTTTTGTAAATAAACAAGTTAAAGTACTCGAACATTCATCGAATAGTACGATGTCGTTACAATCAAGAAATAAGTCTATATGTAACAATTACAAAGGCAACAATAATAACCACTACAAAAGTTATTCAAAGACAGTTTTAAATACTAATGTGTCAAATTATAATAAAAATAAAAAAATAATTTGCGCGCATTGCAATCAAAATCACATGATTTATAGGTGCGATCAATTTCGTAAATTGACCGTAGATAAAAGGATTGACCGTGTCAATACCTTAAAATTGTGTCATAATTGCCTAAAAGGAAATCATGATACCTCAACTTGTAAAAGTGAGATGTCTTGTGGTGTATGTGCGTCACTACATCATTATCTATTGCATAGGGAGCCAGTGAGCGACACGCTCGTGCCAACATCCACCCGTCCATTGTGCTCTGACTCGCAAGTGCAACAAGCACTCGTCTCGTCTCAGGCTATGAGTGACTCAGAGCGTTATACGATAGATACGCTTCATTCCAATAACACTCACTCGGGTTACGGTGTTGTATTGGGAACGGCGCGCGTGTTAGTAATTGATAGTAGCGGCCAGCTTCAATACTGCCGTGCAGTTATTGACTCTGGAGCTCAGAGCTCATTTATTACAACTGAGTGTGCTCAACGTTTGGGCTTACCTCGAAAGAAGTGTTCGTTTAATATTTATGGTCTCGGTGGAGAGGCTGTAAAAAATCACGGCATGATTACATGCACATTAAGGTCCCTACACACTGACCTACCTAGTTTTACACTGAACATGGTCGTAGTGACTAAGGTATCTGCTGATATGCCTAACGTTCGATTCCACTCGGACGTTATTAATAAATATAAGAATTTTAATTTAGCTGATCCATTATTTTATAAGCGTTCGCGTATCGATATACTATTGGGCAATGATATAGTTTCGGAACTAATTAAGGATAAACCTTATATTATTTCATCGGATATACCAAGCGTGATCGATACCGCTTTCGGGTTTGTTGTAAGTGGTAAACTTTATAGCAATGATAAGGACAATTTAAAAAATTATAATTTATCAGTCTCATTTGATGAACAAGAGTCTTTAGATCAAACGTTGCGTAAGTTTTGGGAAATCGAAGAATTGCCAAGCAAACCCTCGATTAATCCTTTGGAACAATTAGCGGAAGACATTTTCATGGCTCGTTATAGTCGTACTGAGGATGGTACCTATTCAGTGCCGTTACCATTCATACCAGACCCGCCTCCGTTGGGCGCGTCACGAGCGGCAGCCGAGCGGCGACTCTTGTTCACCGAGCGCAAGTTGAATCGTTCACCTGTATTACGACAAGCCTATTCAGAGTTCATGTGCGAATATGAAAATCTAGGGCACATGGAGCTTTATTCGGGGGACACCCCAAGCAAATATGTGATACCTCATCACAGTATACTTAAGCCCAGTAGTTCCACTACTCCTTTGCGTGTGGTATTCGATGCCTCGGCTAAAACGTCCACGAACGTTTCGCTTAATGATATTCTATTGACCGGGCCTAATCTGTATCGAGATATTGGGGCTATAATATTGAATTTTAGGTTGTTTGAATATTGTTTGATTTGTGACGTATGCAAAATGTATCGGGCAATTAAACTGAATCAGTCAGATAGATGTTATCAACATATTTTGTATCGTCATTCGCCTAACGATGCCATTGACGTTTATGAATTAAAAACTGTCACTTACGGCTTAAGTTGCTCACCGTTCTTAGCTATCCGCACCCTCTTACAGTTAGCCTATGACGAGGAAGAACGTTTCCCACTCGCTGCAAAGGTTGTGCGCGAGGGCGTGTACATGGATGACATTCTATATTCTTGTAGTTCATTGTCACAGATATCTCGGTTACAAGATGAACTTTTAGAGATGTTTAATTCCGGTGGCTTTATACTCAAAAGGTGGGCGAGTAATAGTGCAAAAGTTTTACAACGCGTTCCGTTAGAAAACCGAGAGTGTCCTGTTACATTTATGAAAGATGGTAACAAATATTCAGTCAAAGTGCTAGGTCTGAAATGGTTCCCTTTGACTGACTGTTTTTATTTCACAGTAGATAAGACTGATAAAGTAACAACTAAACGTTCTGTTTTAAAATTATTAGCTTCTATTTACGACCCCGTGGGTTTTATTTCACCGTGCATTTTCATCGCGAAAGAGATAATGCAAGATTTATGGAAGCTGGGCATAGGATGGGATGAGCAGCTGCCAACTGACGTAACTAAGCGCTGGCTTAATTACGTTGATGATCTCCCGCGACTAACGGCAATCAAGATAGATAGACATATGCTGCTACCAGAACAGACCGAATGTGAATTGGTCGCCTTTTGCGATGCAAGCTCTCACGGTTATGCTAGTTGTGTGTATGTGATCAGTCGTAACGATAGAGGTCAAACTAAAGTACGCCTGGTGACAGCAAAATCTAAAGTAGCCCCCGTCAAACCATTAACTATCCCGAGGTTGGAATTAATGGCGTCAGTTTTGTTAAGCAAATTAATTAGATATGTCCGTGACATTTTAACTCGTGTAAAAATTACTCGTATTACTGCGTTAACCGATTCGACTATCGTGTTGACGTGGCTTCAGACAGAAGCTTACAAATTAAAGCCGTTTGTTAGTAACCGTGTTACTCAGGTATGTGAAGTGTTACCTCCACACTGTTGGCGTCACGTGAGTAGTGAGTGCAATATGGCAGACATATGCTCGCGCGGAGCGTCTCCGTCACAGCTCGTGGAGTGCAGTGAGCAGTGGTTGAAGGGCCCATCTTGGTTGTACGACGACTATTCGCAGTGGCCAGTGAGAACATTTATCAACCAACATGAAAGTAATACACCCGAAATGAAATCAAATCATACATTAGGCTCCTTCAATTTAATCACAAATGAAAATAATTCGATAGAGGAGACTAAGTTAGAGTTCTGTGACCGAATCTTTTCCAATTTCTCTTCTTATTATAAACTGCAACGTACGTTTGCTCGAATATTGAGATGGTTCCGACTCAAATCCGGTCACTCGAAGCAATCAATACTGACGACTAACGAATTAAATACTGCCCAAGATGTTTTAATTAAATTAGTACAAAGTGCATACTTCGCAAATGAAATAAATAGATTGTCAAAGGGCACAAAGTACGTTCCGTCGTTGAGAAAATTATCTCCATTTATTGACGAACGCGGATACCTCAGGGTGGGGGGTCGAATAAATTATTCAGCGTTACCTTATAACGCGAAGCATCCTCGTTTATTACCTAAAAATAGTAGATTTACCTTTTTACTTATTGAATATTTACATAAAAAATATTTACACGTAGGTCCACGCACCTTACAAAACATTATTAATCAAAATTTTTGGATTTTAGCATCCCGTCGCATTATTCGGTCAGTTTTGTCCAAATGCAAAATTTGTTTTAAACACAACCCAGTGCTCTTACAGCCTGAGATGGCACCTTTGCCAGCAGCCCGATTGATACCTTGTAATGTTTTTGAGCATGTAGGGGTGGACCTCGGTGGTCCGTTCTTTACAAAAGAAAGTTTACGACGAAATGCTAGGGTTGAACGGTCATATTTAGCATTATTTATTTGTTATTCGACAAAAGCTGTACACCTTGAAGTCTTATCGTCGTTGTCATCGGACTGTTTCCTCGCGTGTTTAGACAGATTTGTAGCGCGACGCGGTGTGTGCTCCTTCCTTTATTCGGATTGCGGAACTAATTTCATAGCTGCTAGTAAGCATTTAACCGAAGTACAAAGATTTATGCTCGAACAAAAAAACAATATATTAGAGGGTTGCTCAAAACGACAAATTATATGGAGATTTAATCCCCCTGGTGCACCACATATGGGTGGGCTCTGGGAAGCTGGAATTAAATCCGCCAAGTATCTATTAACGCGAGCCGTAGGAGAAAAAAGTTTGACGTTCGAGGAACTCACAACAGTGTTTTGTAAAGTAGAAGCGATTCTCAACTCGCGGCCGCTTTGTCCGTTACCAGCTAGTGATAATCCTGATGAGTTCAACGTTTTGACTGCGGGACACTTTCTAATTGGAAAAGGGTTAACAGCAGTACCTGAGTATAATGTAGAGGATATAACAATAAATCGATTATCACGTTGGCAATATATTCAAAAATGTTCACAAATGTTTTGGCGTAGATGGAGTCACGAATATCTAAATACGCTGCAACAGAAAGCAAAGTGGCATTCGGATAGATCTAATATAAAAATAGGTGATCTAGTAATCATAAAAACTGATAATGTACCGCCGTGCAATTGGCCTTTGGGTAGAATTGAGGCTCTTCACCCCGGTCCAGATGGGATTGTTCGTTGTGTTACGCTTCGCACTCAAAAGAGTACTCTACAGAGACCAGTTAATAAACTGAGTCCTCTACCTTATTCAAATTAGTTTTTACGTGTATTAATATTTTTTTTTCTCGTTGAGGACATTCTGTGTCTCAGCGTTATTTTGCATGTTCCGTAGCTTAAGTTATAATATTTTCTCTAATATCTTTTTCATATAGTTAGGAGAAACCATCAAGATGGTTTCGGTGGGGGGTGTGTTCAGTAATAAACCGCAACTCACAAAATTTATACCGAGGCACAATGATCTGCTGCGATCGGAGCGCCGGTCACACCTAGTGGCAACATTGCGACGTAATATGCGTTGTAATAATCTGTGGAGTTAAAAAAAGGAGAAGAGGAGGGTAGGAGGCGAGACAAGCCAGACACATTCTCTTTGTGTTCGTGATGTGAACATCTCTCCAAAAACTTTAAAAAGGGACTACTCCAGAGTGTACCGTGTACAATCTAATTGCTAGTGTATTCTACCGTGTAGAAGAAGCTACCAGGAGCTGTCAACGTTTGCTGATCTTGGGAGGCTGGCTAGTAAGACCGTGAGTAGTTTATTGCTGTTTTTGGTGTGATTTTGTGACTGCGGTAACTGAACGTTTCAGGGGATTTAGAATATCAATACAGTCCACTATATCTAATAAAATAATCCCAATCCGCCACATATATATATTTTTTTACTAAAATTTAAAACTCATACGTATAGAAAAATTAAATTTTGTGATATTTCCTTTGAAATCCCGTATTGTTCATGAAAAATGAAAATGTGGTTCAAATTGCAGGTCTGTTTTTATTTTAAAAGGAAAAATAACTGCACTTTGGATAAAACAATTTATTAACACAACGAACACCACTTTCATGTGACCGAGCACATCTGCGCTAATACACATAATACTACATAACTTCAACTTAGCAACCATGAACGGAGAAAGTTTTTTGTGTTTGTGTGAATGTACGTGATTTTTAACTTGCTCATAAATACGGTTTCGGTTTTTTAAGTTAACATTACTTCATAAAATTAAAATGATAAACGAACTTACATTTCACCTGATGGAAAATGGTTACTATAGTCTGCACACCTACTAACCTCAATAAAGAAGTCTATGCGTTTTCACCTCTGAGGATTAGTGTGGAATTCATCACAGCCTATAATTATGCTAGCTATCTATACACTTCACAGCGTATGCACTGCTATTCGGTAGCAGGAATAGTACGAAGACGTAATCTACTCAGACCACCAGACCAGATTATTTAGAAACTAAAAATTTGGCATCGCGTTTTATCATTAATATTACACAAAAGAACAAAAAAAAGAGGCAGCTATAAGGACTGCCGACAGAAGTGAAAACTCAATGATTTTTTTATTCTACAATCATTTAAGGGACTTTTTTTAAACGTTACCCCCACACTAGGTTTTTCTCCTGTATCGTGGAGGCAGTTTACAAACACAAATGACACAAGGATGACAAACATCCAGATCTGGAACAATTATTTGTAGGCCATACAAATACTTGTTCCGTGCGGGATACAAACCCGCGGTCCCCAGCGCAAGCAACTCATTGCTAAGCCACTGCGCCACGGAGCCGTCGACTTTTACTGCTTAGCGTATATCAGTCCCATATACATCATTAACTCATATACCATTAATTATTATACTACGTGGGCCATGGATTCGAACAGAACTTTCGCATCGTCGCTACGTCAGTACTGTTCAAATTAAAGACCCTTATCAAATTACTTCTAACAGACACAAATCGAACACATTCCATCAATAAATCGTGTAGGTCCTCTATAAATCCACAGTCTTCACAATTGGGTGAAGTTGTTTTTCTCATCAAGAAGACAATATTTCTTACAAGGAACGTGTCCAGATCTGAGTCTATGAGCAGAAGTAGCGAATTTCTTACTTAAACTAGTATTCGTGAAGCAGGGCACATGAAGAGGCTGACACTGTATGGCTTTGTACCATATTCCTTTTTCTAGTGCCCGTTCGTTAAAGTATTCTTTTCACATTTCATATTAATCTAAAATAATATAAGTTTCCTTTCCATTCTTAACTGCATACTTCGCTAACATGTCAGCCATTTCGTTGCCCCGTAACCTAATATGCGATGGAGTCTATTGTAATCTCAGTTGGAGGCCTTTTGAAGTTTTTTCATCTATCTTGGATAATATAATGTCATAAGCTATCGATGCACGTCTGTAACCAGAGGCGCGTCGAGCTATATGTGCAACGAACTCTTGCTGTCTGTGGATATAACGACATTTTATATTGGCTACTGATAACACATATCAAAGATTCCGAGATTGCAATAAGTTCCAAAGTCATAATAGTAGTACGAGTAATTATTTTAAAATAATGATGATTTTGATTAAGTATCACATCCATATTAGGCACATAAAAAGCAGAATCATGTCCTTCTTCACTATTCGACCCATCCATAAATATAAAACTCCAGCCATTAAATTCTTCAAATAATATTTTAGTAAGTTACTGTCATATGAACTTTTTGAATATTGTATTGTCTCTAGATTAGGTAGAATAACTTCATTTACGTTAATATTGGTCACCCATGTTCGCAAAGTAAACATTAATAAAGGAGATGATGATGCTATCTGAATTTCTTTAACTTCATTAGATGAGGATACCAGTAAAGTAATGCTTTTGTTTCTCCAATAACAATTTTGTTGAAGAGTGTAGAGTTCATCTAATAGCTGAATAGTTATATTATTTTCTGCAAACTTTAACTTTAGACCTAACTTGTATGCTAGATACTTCCTCCGTAAGTATCTAGCACACAAATTATGGAGAGTGAGCTTGGTGGAATTACATAAAGCTCATTCTCCATAACACGAGTTGGAGTGATTTTAATAAATCCTCCTATTATCCTTAGCGCGTAATTTTTTTTAGGATAGGGTGACAAACGAGCACACAGTTCACCTGACGGTAATTGGGTGCTGTGGCCCATAGACATCTATATCTATCCTCGTTTGCGTTGTCTTAAGATTAACATGAAATACCTCTTTTCCAGTAAAAAGAGTCTCCAGTTCTCTACACTCATCATACGAAACTAGTTATAACTTATAGATAGAAGACAGTTACAGATATTTGAGTGTTTGGTTGGACAGGTCGTTGCATTGAGCAAACATATTAACATGACAGTGGAGAAAGCGCCAAGAATCCTTAATCTACTTAAAGTATTAGCTGGTCTTTCCTGGGGCTTGCATCCTAAACGTTTAAGACGTATATATATTAGCACTGATCAGAAATTGTATAGACTACAGTTGCTATTTAAACGACGCGAGTGCAAATGCATTTAGACAAATTAAATAAAATGCAAAAATTTTATACGTGGTAGAGCCATGCTGCAGCTTTATTAGTAGTATAGTTGTAGCACGAATGGGTCGGCTCGACCGGGGAATGACCACGCACTCACAGAATACCAGCGTGAAATAGCAGCTTAACACTGCTGTGTTTCGTATGGTGAGTGTAGAGAACCGGAGACCCTTTTTACTGGAAAAAAGGCATTCCATCTTAGTCCTCACGCGTGACAAAGCATCTGCATTTTGATTCTTTATTGAGGATAGATGTAGATGTCTATGGGTCGCAGCAAATACTTACCATCAGGTGGAATGTGTGCTCGTTTGTCAACCTCTCCTATAAAAAAAGAAATACTTGCTGTTGAATTGGATTAAAAGTTTCTGTTATGTAATCGTTCCGTTTGAAGTTTGACATAACACTTCTAAAAGTATAATCGGCAATTTCGATATGGCAATCTGAATTTTGTCGCACATGCGTTAGAATACGCCCATAACTTACTTACTTAATAACTCACTGCTTATTCGCCGCAGACTGTACATGAATAACGCATTAGTGCTTACTGACAGACGATGATGTATTGAGTCTGCCGTCACACGCAGTGCACATACACTTGAAATACTCTTTTATTTTTCTTTCACATCTTATTGTGACGTTTATCATGGGCACATTGTAAATGTATAATATCTATGAACAATGAAATTAAAAAGTGTGCATAGCTGTTGATGTTTGACGTCGCGATGTCATAGTTAGCCCGGCTACCTTCAGTTTTTGAATATTAACTTTTGGTTTGATCTACGCAGAATGAGCTTACAGTAAGTATCTTGAAGTCTTGCAGTGGTATGCTTGGGTTTGGATCTAATTTTATTAATTATAGGATTCCAAGAAGAAGGCAGCACTTGTATTGAAATTACGATTTTTTTTTAATTTCAATAACCGCGCAAACCATTCATGGTAGGAATTAGTGTTTTTTACGGGGATTTGTGGTCTATCAAATCTAATATAATAGCAGGAACGATGTTGAATATGTTCACACACTGCAGACCTCCAGGAACAGGACCGTCGGTGGTTTAATTCAGCTATATGTTCTTTTACACGAGATTTTAATGAAAAATAAAATATAATAAACACTCACGCCTGTCACCCAGAGGGGTAGGCAGAGATTATGTACTTCCATCTGGCACGATCCTGACACACCTCTCTCGCTTTCTCCACATCCATATACCTACGCATACACGCTCGTCGGTTAAAGGTACTCTTGATTTGGCCCATTTTTAATATATCGCCAGTTTGGTCGATAAACTTTGGCCTAGGGCGACCCTTCCCGACTATGCCGTTCATCTCTACGACATAAATATGCTTTGTCACTCTTTCCTCATTCATTCTTTCTACATGGCCAAACCACCGAAGCATTCCTTTCTTAATCCTGGTCACAACATCATCTTGCAAACCACACTCTTCTCTTATTAAACAATTTCTCACTCTGTCATTCAGATTCATCCCTAACATACTCTTTAATGACCGCATTTCTACAGCATTTATTCTACTCTCGTGCTTCTTCTGCCACACCCAACTTTCACTACCATACATTAAAGTAGGTACTAACACAGCATTTTGAATTGCCAAACGTGCCTTTTTGGACACATTCTGACTTTTCACAATAGAGTGTAGAGCCCCATTCACTCTATTTCCTGCATTCACTTGTCGTTCTATATCCTTATCATATCTACCATCCCTGC